ATATTTTATTCCTAATTTCTCCAAAGCCAAATTAGTCTATCAGCTTAAGGGACATATTGCTTGTCTGGACTGCAACTTCTTCCATGACATTCTCCTTCATCTTCTGTGTCACTTCTCGGAGTTGCTCATTTTCCCTTGTAAGAGAACCTTTCTGTCCAAGAAGTTCTTGAACAAGATCTTCATATATGTTGCAGCTCTTTTTCAGCTTGGTGACCCCTGTGATCCACTCTTCTGGGGTACTTCCTAGGCCAGCATTTTGAAAGGTTTGACTGATCTTCTGAAAATTTTCATGCATGGTTTTCATTTCTGTGCTCAATTTCTTATTTTGGTCGTTCAAGTCCTTCAAATAACATGCTTGAGCTTCATAAAAACCTCCACTACTTTGAATGCCCTGACTGATGTTCCTACCATAGACTGCTTTTGGTATCAATCTGGTAGGATCCTTGTGTAATACTTTTGGTATTAATATAACCGGTTCTCTATGTACAGAACTTCCCTCGATCTTCGTAGTTTCTTCAGGATGTCTTTCCTTGGCCGCATCATATTTTGTTTGATCATAAAACTTTTTGTCCACTTACGATTTCTTTCCAATATGATGAACAATCTTTCCAGTAAACACCTTTTGGTTATGCCATGATCATGCAATGCAAACAATAGAAATCAATATGAACAGATTAGAGCAATGTAACATGCATGAAAAAAAGAAAAAATAGAATAGTTAGTACCAACTAATGGAAAAAAATCTATCTATCAAGGTATAAATCTTAACCTCATGCTTTCTAGTTCCATGCTTTGTTTGGAAAATTTAACCTAACCGCATGATTTCTAGTTCGCATGCATTTATTCAGGAAAAAGAAAAAGAAATAAAATAAATTAAAAGCTAGAGCTTATTTCTCCTTTGTGTATACCTACTGACAAAATTTCGGCATGGTTTCAGATCGAGAGAGTTTCTAGGGTTTATTATATGTAGGTTTTCAGTTCTAGGAGTAAAGGTACTCGAACTGTCCTTGTTGATGCCCCCTTGGGCTGTCAAACCCTCAATCCTAGTCCATTACAGACTTAAGCGGATAGAGTTCAATTCGAGGGGATACATTTCTCTATGACTAACACGGAGAATAAATTCTCACGAAGACATAGAGCATATGAACCCCGAAAGTTACTTGCTAGGTCTGACACGGAGAATAAATTCTCACGAAGACGTCGCTTTCACTCCCACTTAAAAGGGACAAACTCAATTATAGAGCTTTATGTTATGCAAGTGTTGTGTGTGAGGAGAAATGTTCAAACCTTTGACAGAAAAATAAATAATGAAATAAAATACTTGCAAGTAAAATAAAGTATAAATATAAATTCTATAAGTAAAAAATTTGAAAATAAAGAATTATAAATTAAATATATGAATTTTTAATTTCTAATTAATAGAGACAATTTATAATTGATTTTAAAAGCTTAACCAGTCTCCAGCGGAGTCGCCAAGCTGTCGTAACCGGTTTTTGTCCGGGCACGAATTTTTACTTGGCGGGGATAAAAATAATTTTGAAAAAATGTTTTTAGGAGTCGCCATTGACCTTTTGGGGTTAGGTAGGTCAAATACCTAAAAATCATCCTTTAAAAGAGTTTTTAAGAAAACATCGATTAAAAGATAAATTGATCTGCGTTTTAACCAAAAATTCGTTCTTTTTAATAAAAAAAAGGATTCGTGGTCGGTTACGTTTAGGGAAGGATTAGCACCCCCACAACGCCCAAAATTGGTACTTATTAATTATAAATTGTCTCTATTATTAGATATTTAAAAATTCAAAAATATGGTTAATTTATAATCTTATTATTTCAAATTTATAATTTTAAGAAAAATAATTTTTATAAAGTAAAAATGTATATTTTTAGGGTTTTATAAATAAAATATTTATTTATTTAGAAATATCAGAAAAGGGCATCTAGTTACTTTAAGACTGCTCCTTTCTTTAATATTAATAAATAAATATTAATAAGAATATAATAATTTTTTTCTAAACATATGATTAACTAAGAGTGAATTAAATATAATATTTTATTAAAAATATCAAAAAGGACATCTAATTACCTTAAGAGACTGCTCATTTCTTTAATATTAATAAATAAATATTAATAAGAATATAATAATTTTTTTCTAAACATATGATTAACTAAGAGTGAATTAAATATAATATTTTATTAAAAATATCAAAAAGGACATCTAATTATCTTAAGATTGTCAATTTCTTGATATTTAAAATAAACAAATATTATTATCTAATCAAATATATATATGACTAAAATAAAATAATAATAAAATAATAATAATTAAAGTACTAATTTAAACATATTGAAATTAAAAAGTTAATGATAAAATTAAATAAAATAAAACAGTGATAAAAAATTAAAACTATATGATTAAATTAAAAATAATAAAATCTAGATATTATTAGCGTAAATTAACTATAGATAATAATTCACATTAAAATATAATTTATCAAAAAAATATTGTCATACTTATAATAGTAACAAATGTTCATATTTCTTTTTTCTTTTTTTTTTACAACCGGTTACAAGAAAATTTTGATTTTTAATATTAAATTTTACATAGAGATTCTTCACAATGATTGATGCCATTGATTAAGGAGAAAGACTAAAAAACAATTTATTATATTATTTTACATTAGGTAGAAGGAAATTATGGTCATAATAGACCAGTAAACGTCTTTATCCTAATGTAATTTTAAATTATTATTAAATATATGTATATTTAATGTAATTTAATAATAATTAATAATTCAAGATCAAAATAAAATATATTAATAATTAAAAGGACTAAATATGGTATTTTACCTAATTATTAATATAGTGACTAAATTAAAATTATATTAAATTTGAATATCAAATTAAAATAACCGGGATTAATATATGAATTATTAAAATTAAAGGTCTAAATCTGTTATTTTTCCTAAAATATTTATATTTCATGAATATGACCAAATTATAATTTAATTAAAATTAAGAGTCTAAATTAAAAGGTTCTAGACTTGATTAAAGTGACTAAAATGTAATGTTACAAAGTTACAAGGATAGCGGAAAGGGTTTTATCATGTGTGAAATTGCACAATCATCCCTTATCAAAACGGTGTCGTTTTGATGAGGGTATTAATACCCTTTAACCGGCCCTAGAGGGCCATTTGTTTTATTTTCTGGCTTGGCTTCGCTCTTTTTAGAGAGAAAAGCTCTGCCTTCTCTCTAAATTCTCCAACCGGAGGAAGGCCGGCTGCCACATTCCGGCGCCGATCATCGCCGTCGGCCACCGTTTCCGGTGGCTGAAGATTACCAAACTACACCAAATTAAAGATTTCAACTCCTAAAGGCCAAATCCGGCCTCCTTTTACCCTAAATCCCCTTAGATCGACCTAGATCTAAGGTTTTTTTACCTTTGATTTTCGGCTTTCCGACGGCGCGAGGAGGCTCCGATTACTGCAGTTTCCTCGGTAAGTTTCTCTCTTCTCTTTTCTTTCGATATTTGGTTGTTGGGTGGTTGCTGTTTGTTTCCCCTTTTTCTGTTGTGTTGGGTATGGTTCTCCTTTGTTCCTCCGTCCTCCTCTGTGTTTGTCTCTTTGCTCCTTTTCTTCTCTGCAGGAGATGGCCATTTATAGGCCTCGCCGGTGTCTTCTTCGGACTGGTTAAAGGAATGGCCCTCTATGAGTCACCGAACTATGGTGGTGACTCACTATAGGGTAGCAACATGGACAAGGCAGCTGGCTTCTGGAGGCTTCAGCGTGGCAGCAGGGCGTTGGATCACCTGGCAGTGCTAGAAGCCGCTGTAACTGATGCGTGGAGGGGCTGCTCGCTGGAAGCTGCTGGAAATGATGCGTGAAGGGGCTGCTGGATAGAGGAGGCTGCTCGGGTAAAAATTTAGTGTCTACAGCTCTGATACCAATTGTTGAGTTAATCGATCGACGGAATTGGCCAAGAGGGGGGTGAATTGGCAATAAAAATTTTGGTGAAAGCTTTTGCAGAAAATTGAAAAGATTTGCACAACGATTTAGAGTGGTTCGACTTTCTCAATTAAAGTCTACGTCCACTACCTTAGCTATCCACACTAAGGATTTTCCACAAATTCACTAATTTGTCTTTCTTTTGAGGACAAAGAGTAACCTTACAAACCCTCAAGAATTATACCCCAAATTCTTGAGAAAACTCTCTCCCAAAGAGAACAATACAAATTTACAAACTTACAAGGAAATCCTCACAAGGTAGATTGTTTGCACAATTCTATAACAAAGGAATGAACACTCTAAGATGAATAAAATTGAGCACAATAAGTGTTCTTGAAAGCAAAATGAATATTGAATGAAAATAGGCTTGAAATGCTCAAACTTGAGGTTTGATGCTTTCTCTTTGATTCTCTCTTGATTTTAGTTGCTTGATGTTTCTTGTTTTTGATCAATGGCTTCTAAGCTTGCTTAAATACACCTTGAATTACTTCTGAACGTTGGGGATGATTAGTGAAGATAATATAGCCGTTTAAGTGTGAAAACATTTAATAAAAATGCTTGGAGCGTGGGGGGAATCGGTACCCCTTCATAGGGAATCGGTTCCCTAAGTATAAAATTCAAATATTTCGACCGTTGAATAGGGGGAATCGGTACCCCCTATGGGGGAATCGGTTCCCTCCGAGCATTCTAGAAATCTCAGAGCCAAACCATTCAGGGGGGAATCGGTACCCCCTTGGGGGGGGAATCGGTTCCCTCTGAGCAATCTGGAATTTTTGGCTTTGAAATGGTTCGAAATACTTTGAAAGATTATTTTGAAATTGTTTTAAGATTAAAACTTAATTTTACATTTAAGTAAGGATTAAAAATGACTTTTGAAAGATTTAGAGTAATGTTTTGATATTCGAATAATTATATCGAATATAGTTATAAAATCATTTGGAAAATCTTAAAATTCATTTAACTTAATTTGTTATATCGAAATATCAAAATGTTTTCAACACTGTTCCCCGAACAAGCTATACAGTCAGCCAACCCCTCAAGAATCATAGTGAATCCTTGGATAGCAGATGTGTTTTCTGTAGAAAGTATTAATTGTTGTAATATGGTTGTATAATCTGTTAGTTTGTTGAGTTTGTTAGATTTCTGTTATTGAGTTAGTTATAGGAAATCATTGTGTATATAAAGGACCTATTTGATGTAATTGAAAGATAGAGGAATAAAACAATATTCTGCCCAAATATTCAGTTTTAACATGGTATCAGTTTAGCCCAGGTCATTCTTGGGTCGTTCTCTCTTTGCTCGTGTCTCTCTTCTTCTCATTTTCCCTCTTCTCAATTAGGTTTTACTTTGGGCAATTTTCTTCGAAGCAATGAACACTCCTGACACCGCTGCTACCACCGCCGTGCTTGACTTCAACCATCCTTTATTTTTTGTACCATTCTGATACGCCGGGTGGTGTTCTGATCTCGCATCGTCTGGTCGGCATCGATAATTATAACATCTGGAGTCGATCTATGAGAATCGCGTTGCTGGCTAAGAACAAGTTAGGTCTCGTTGATGGCACTTGCTGCAAAGAAGATTTTGATGAAATCTTGCACTCTCAATGAGAACGATGTAATGTGTTTGTTCTGTCATGGATTCTCAACACTGTTAGCAGCGATCTCTCGGCCGGAATTGTGTTCGCTTCAAGCGTTGCTCATGTTTGGAATGATTTGAATGAGCGCTTTGATAAGGTAGATGGATCTCGAATCTACTTTTTGCATCGTGAAATTGCTACCTTAAATCAATGTGATTCCACAGTCTCGACCTACTTTACGAGATTGAAGTTGTCGTGGGAAGAATATCACGCCCTAATCCCTTTTTCAGGTTGTATTTACGAGGCATCTCAGCAAAATTCCAAACACATTGCACATCAGAAGCTGTTGTAATTTCTTATGGGCCTCAATGATACTTACTCAGCCATTCGTAGCCAAGTTCTGCTTATGCAACCTCTACCGAACGTGAATCAAGCGTATTCCATGATTGTGCAAGAAGAAGCACAACGAGTTCAGTTATCTGGTGTTTTGGGTGCTACTGCCATATATTCTAATGCTTCTGGAAATTCATATCGTAGGAGATTCACTAGCGTTTGTGACTACTGTAAAATCAAAGGTCATAAGCGAGACAACTGCTATCGTCTAATCGGCTTTCCTCCAGATTTTAAATTCACCAAGAAGAAGAATTCTCATGCAGCTCTTGTTACTAATCCCTCACTGGTTGACTCTAATCATGAGTCACATGATTCAAGCACAGTTAATTTTGCTCCAGTTTTCACAACAGCTCAATATCATCAGATTCTTGAGCTCTTGAATAAAAATCCCTCGGTGGATGCAACAGTCAACCTAGCAGGTATCACTTCCATGTGCTCACATGCTTCTTCTAATTCATTTTGTTGGATACTTGATACAGGGGCTACTAACCATATGGTGTCTGATATCAATTGTTTGCAATCTCTAACTTCATGTCAGCTTAGATCTGTCCATCTGCCTAATGGTAAAACCGTTTCAATCACCCATACTGGTAGCTTTTATTTCAACTCAGCTGATGTTGTTCCAAACGTTCTTTATGTTCCTAATCTCCTTCATAACCTACTGTCAGTGTCAAAACTCACTAAAGATCTCAACTGCAGTATTAGTTTTTACCCTCATTTTTGTATTTTGCAGGATCTCTTCAATGGGAAGATGAGGGGGATTGGTAGGGAAGCTCGTGGTCTCTACTTGTTTGATTCTAAAGACCTTGTTTCTGGTTTGTCCTTTCCAAATGTTAATTCTGATTTGTCATCATCCAAATGCAAAATTGATTCTGATTGTATGTCTGTTTCCTCTGATAATAATACAATGATTTGGCATGCACGTTTAGGGCATGCTACTTCTGTTAAAATGCATAAAACTCCATTCTTGTGTTCTTTTCCATTAAATGAAAACTCTGTTAAGCAATGTTCTGTTTGTCCTCTTGCAAAACAGTCTAGGTTACCTTTTCCAACTAGTTCTTCTAGGTCACTCAAACCTTTTGATCTAATTCATATTGATTTGTAGGGTCCATATAGAATATCAACACAAGTGGTCATAGGTCTTTTTTTACTATTGTAGATGATCATACTAGGTTATCTTGGGTTTACTTGTTGAGACTTAAGAGTGATGCAATTCTCTTCCTTAAAAATTTTTTTACTCTTGCTCGAAATCATCATTCTGCTTTAGTTAAGTATGTTCGTAGTGATAATGGTGGTGAATTTTTTAGTGACAATTGTTCTGAGCTTTTTTCATCCCTTGGTATTTTTCACCAAAGTTCTTGTGTTCATACACCCTAACAAAATGGTGTTGCTGAACGAAAACACAAACATCTTTTAGAGGTAGCCCGTGCTCTTAGATTTCATTCTTATGTTCCAATCAAAATTTGGGGTGAGTGTGTCCTAGCAGCTTGTTATATCATTAACAGGCTTCCTACTGCTGTTTTAAACTGGAAAAGTCCTTTTGAAGTCTTCTATAAAAAACCACCTAATTTTTCTCATATGAGAGTGTTTGGTTGCCTTTTCTATGCCATTAAAGTCAATTATAAGGACAAATTTTCTCCAAAGGCTTTACCTTATGTTTTTATGGGTTATTCATCAACTCAAAGGGCTATCTACTTTTTTATCTTGATACAAAGTCTTTTTTTGTCAATCGTGATGTAGTTTTTTATGAGACTGTTTTTCCTTTCTTGTTCCCATTAAATAAACCTTCTCATTTTTTTCCTGCTCAGTCCTTTATTGATGATTCTGATTTTCTCACTCTTGAAATTTCTGCACTATCTAATCCAGTAAACTCTGTTTCATCTAATTTATTTTCTCCTTCTTCTTCTTCTCCTTCTGCATCACCTCAAGTTTCAACTAGTTAACCTATTCCATCTTCAAGTCTATGTTCTAGTCCACTTCTTTTACCTCAAAATCAGGGTCTGCCTCAAAGAAGGTCTACTAGGATTATCAAACCCCCTAACTGGCTACATGACTATGTTCAATCCTACCAATCTTCATCTCTTCCAAGTAAGTATCCCATTTCCAATTTCATTTCTTATTCTCACTTACCTTCTAAAACTCAAAGTTTCTTATCTTCTACTTCTCACCTAAGTGAACCAAAAACTTATACTGAAGCCATCACCAACCCTCTGTGGATCAAAGCCATAAAGGAAGAGATTGATGCTTTGGAGTCAAACAACACTTGGTCTATAATTACTCTGTCATCAGGGAAAGTTCCAATTGACTGTAAATGGGTTTACAGAATCAATTACAAGGCTAATGGAGATGTTGAACGATTCAAAGCTCGCCTTGTTGCTAAAGGATTCAATCAAATAGAAGAGGTTGACTTTATGGATACCTTCTCTCTCCAGTTGCTAAACTAGTCACTGTTCGAACTGTACTTTCTATTGCATCCATTTTTTCTTGGCCTCTTTTTCAAATGGATGTGTACAATGCATTTTTTATAGGGTGACTTAGTTGAGGAAGTCTATATGGCACTTCCTGATGGTTTTTGCAGCCAGGGGGAGTCTAAGGTTTGTAGGCTGCATAAATCACTTTATGGACTAAAACAAGCCTCCAGGAAATGGAATTTGAAGCTAACAAAAGCATTACTTGAAGCCGGTTATATGCAGAGCAAGTATGATTATTTAATGTTTACAAAGCAACAAGGGAGTGACATAGTTGTTCTGTTGATATATGTTGATGATCTTTTAATCACTGGGAGTAGTGAGAAATTGATAGCAGAATTGAAACACATCTTGAATAAGAATTTCAAAATGAAAGATCTTGGAGAGTTGAAATGCTTTCTAGGATTAGAGGTTTTAAGATCAAAGGAAGGGATTGTGTTGAATCAAAGAAAGTATGCTCTAGAGTTTATTGAAGAGACTGGTGTAGGTGGAGCTAAATCGGCTTTGACTCCTCTTGAGCAAAACAAGAAGTTTACTACAGCTGAATATGATGAAGCAGTTTGTAGCAATGAAGAATTGTTGCAAGATAAGTCTGTTTTTCAAAGACTTATAGGAAGACTAATATATCTGACTCACACAAGGCCAGATATTGTCTATGATGTACATTTCCTCAGTCAGTTCATGCATAAACCAAAACAATCACATCTTGAAGCTACATTGAGAGTGGTAAAATACATTAAGAAAAATCCTGGACAAGGGATTTTACTAAGTATGGCGAGTAAATGCAGATTAATTGCTTATTGTGACTCTGACTGGGCTTTCTGTCCTATGACTAGAAGGTCTGTAACAGGTTTCTGTGTTAAGCTTGGAATGTCTCTAATCTCTTGGAAGTCTAAGAAATAGAACACGGTTGCGCGTTCTTCTGCAGAAGCGGAATATAAAAGCATGGCAGGGACAGCTGCATAAATTGTATGGCTGAAGGGTTTGTTAGCAGAGTTGGGCTTGAAAAACTTAGCACCAGCGAAACTAATATGTGATAATAAAGCAACTTTGCAAATAGTAGCTAATCCAGTTTTCCATGAGAGAACTAAACATATTGAGATAGATTGTCATTTTGTCAGAGAGAAGATTCAAGAAGGCTTGATACAAACTGAACATGTCAAGACAGGGGAGTAACAAGCCGATTTAATGACCAAAGCCTTGGGAGTGTATCAACATGAATATTTAGTTTCCAAGTTGGGGTTTAAAGACATCTTTACAACCACCAACTTGAGGGGGAGTGTAGAAAGTATTAATTGTTGTAATATGGTTGTATAATCTGTTAGTTTGTTGAGTTTGTTAGATTTCTGTTATCGAGTTAGTTATAGGAAATCATTGTGTATATAAAGGACCTATTTGATGTAATTGAAAGATAGAGGAATAAAACAATTTTATGCCCAAATATTCAGTTTTAACATTTTCCTTGTCATTGGCAACACCAGCACTTGCCTCCATTGTACAACCAGAGCATAATGTGACCACCAATTTAGGACCTTCATCCAACAAAGAATCATAAGGCATCGGCGACAGGCAATGATAAAATCTAGTCTGGTTCATTTTATGAAAAATAACACTATTCAAAGAAAAGGGGGGGTCAAAAGACATCATTCTATCCTGGCCATTGAGATTGAGATCTTAGGTTCAAGCTGAGGTGCACCCCTTTGACCAAAAAAATTGATGTTAGAATATTCTTATTGAAAGGGCCATACAGTCTCTTCATATTTGTAACTATATATTTTAATATTTAAAGTTTTGCCATCCCTAAAGCAACATGTGATTATAAAGCAAAATAGAACAAGGATGATAGCTCAACTAACTACCGAGTAGAAAGATATATTTCAAGCACATTTTTCCCTTGCATTGGCATAAAGATGAAACAAGAGGTAGAAGGACCAAGAATTCACTTACAATTTAGAAGCATGTGCCCAGCTTCCTTTTTCAGTAGTAGTGAAATACTTTCAAAAACTTGACTGAAGCAAAACATAGTCCAAGTAAAATAGCTTTTAGAACATAAAAGTTGCTATCATCCTAGACATTTGGAAAAAGGAGCAGCATACAAACTAACTTTTCTCTCTGTATAAGCATCACTTCTCATCAGAATCACATTCATGATGAAGACTGCTTCCAATCTTACACATTCTTCGCTAGTCTTCGTCAGAACGAGACGCGTAAATTCAAAGAGATAAATCCAGTTTATATGGGAAAACATTGATGCAAAACTGGTACAGTCCCGTCCTTTCTTGCACATATATTTTTCTTCAAGAGATCTTCCTCCAGTTGGCATGCCACTTGAAAAGGCCCCATCCATGCCAATGAAAACCCAATCTCTAGTTTCATATCCAAATATATCATCAATGCCGCTCCCAGAGTGAAGATGTTTAATCAAGAAGTTTTCCCTGAGTAGAGTGCACTGGAAAGATCAAATCAAAATTCATAAGCACACAATGCAGGTCAACATTTAGAAGGTCTTCTTTACTAAACCATAGAACATTTACAGCAAAACAAAAGCATCCAATATAAAAATGGAAGAAAAAAGTACAAAATCACTGCTTCACATACAATACCAGCAGAGACGAGACGAGACGATTTGAAATAAGGCATAGGAAAAACAATTTTGAGCACTGAATTTCCTTTTTTTATATATAAAGAAAATAATATGGGAACAACTGCATAAACCCAACCCGATTTTCTGTATATAGAAAGAGATTAATTATACTGGCCAAAAACAAATCATGATTTAACAAGGGCGCATAAAAACCTCATGTTAAAAAGAAAACAAGAACAAACAACATACAAGTACTAGACATACCTTCCTCTGGATTCCCTTTCAAAAGTCACAAGATGCTTCAACAATACTAGTATATGCAGTGATCTATAGACAATAACTAACTGCATCAACAAGGATTTTATTTTGATATCTACATTAAATACTACAGTGTTGGGCAAACTCGTCCTGTCGATGTGTTGAGTTTGACTAAAAATATTTTTAAATGGACTCAAGTAAGTAGAACTTGTCCAGAAAATCGTTACGTCGACGTGATAAATCTCGGTAAAATATATATTTATTTTGAAAATCAAATAATTATTTTAAAAGGACTCATCTCGACGTGATGAGTTCATTAAAATATTTTAAAATATTAGATTTCATGGGTCCCACTTATTTGGATTGATTTAAAAATAAATATTTTTAGCTAAACTTGTCACGTCAACAAGATAATTTGTAACGTAACATTTATTGTAGATATCAAAATAAAATCAAGAGTGGCCTAATGGACTGATTAATATTTCTGTCTGGCCTAATATAACAATTTAACCCAATTTTTTCCGGTTTTCTCATTAATCCATCTCCCCCCCCCCTTCCCTTTCAATATGGGATGAATCCATTATCTATTGAACTTAAAACACAGAAAATACACATGAGATATGTAATTAGGAAGAATGGAATAAGAATTAATTCCAAATCCTCTCTTTAATATATTTGAGGCAAGTATAATTCCACATTGATTGAATCTTCAGAATGCAGAAACTGCAAATACAGGCGAGTAGGAGAAAGAGAGAAGAACAAAGGAAGAAGATGCTTTGAAGAAAGAACACACTTTCATATTTTATTGATAGAAATCAGATAAGCAAGCCCAATACAAACTAGACTATTTTAAAAGACCCATATAACTATCATTGGGCCCATCGGTTACAACGGCTAACAGCTTTCAGTTATAATGACTCGTACTTATTGCTTGACAGTAACAGGAAAGGAAAAATGCATGAAGACAACAGCGGGGGAGGATTTTGGGTATATTACTTTTCTATGATCAATTTGGCTCTTGCATGTCCTTCGTTGATCTGGAACTGCTCACCAAGACCAAAGTGAACCATCAACAACCAAAAGAAGGAGATAAGCTGTCCACCTTTGCTTACCTCTGCAGCGTGTGTATTTGCTCTGCAATGACTCGCAGCGTACGACACTAATTCCACCCACACTCTGCTCATTATAATCCACTTTTTCTCCTTGTCTTCATCTTCCATTCTCTTCAGCTCTTTGGCCAGTATGCTTGCACTGAAGAACACCGATTTGCTTCGGTCTCCCTTCACTTGCTCAGGTTCAACATCCGTATTCACCGACAATATTTGGTGGCAGGCCTCCTTATCTTCGTTTCGACGTAAATTCCGTCTCTCAAAGAAAATTCTAGCCTCCGCACATGTGTCTCGGAATCTTATCTTCGCGATACCAGCCACGGCGGACATCATGGTCGGCTGAAATATGAGAAGATACAGCATGTAATCCGACAGTATTTTGCTGAAGTGCATGTATTTCAGATTCTCGCTGAAGTGCATGTATTTCAGATTCTCGCCACCGTTTTTCGACTCGGTCTCCTCCTTTTCAGTTTGGTAGCATAGATCAGTCGCAATGTGCCACAAGAGAATGCTCTCATCATATGGAACATCACTCACATACCTGAGTATCTTGCTACGATCGTGCTCAGAATCGGTATCCGTCAAAGCCCACTCGCCTCTGGCCGACGATATCCTCTTTGCAGTTTCTGGATTATCTGCGAACTCGGCTTTCTTCTTTAGCTCACTGAAGATGAATTCCCATAGTTCCTTAGTGATTGGCTCAAGGGACACATAAAAAAACTCATCCAGAGTATCTTCAAACCAACTGTAAATTTTGGTAAACGGCCAGGAGAGTGTTTTTTTTATATACCTTGGAAAACTATTGCTGATACGCCATAAAAATCTACAAGGGCATGTGATGATCATGATAAAACAATTGGTAACCCTTAAACAAACTTTTTTGACTCGATAACAAACTTTTTCTGGATCGAACCCCAAGAAATGAAATATTTTTCCAAACACGATTTGACACAAACTTGGGAATTCATGGATGCTTTTCCTATGGCTTGTCAGACAATACCTTATTAAGTTGTGTGATGAGATGGATCCAGACCACCTTCGAAATGCAAAGCAAGTGGCCAACAGGTGATGTCGGTGCTCTTCAGCCACTGGACATTTACAACGATGCCACCGCGGTTTCTTGAGGGCGAGGAAAATGCTGAAGACAGATGCGCAGATCCCATGGGTAGGACGATCAGGGTTCTTTATAAAAGTAAAAGTACGATCTGAGAAAATCATGGTGAAGATGGCTATTACATCCAGGACAATGGCACCAAGGAGCAAAGTGTAGGTGATTCCAATTTCCACTCCATCGTAGGCATCTTTGTTCGTTTTGAAATGGAAGATTCCAAGAGTAGCCAAAGTCGACCCAAAAGCTAGGAACCGAAAAATAGATCCAGGCCAAGAGTAGACAACTTCCAGCTTGGTATAGAGAGTCCTATATATGAAGTTGAGTTCAACCTCGATTACCCTCAGAGCATCTTCAGCTGTCCTCCTGTAGAAGAAATCACGGCTCTCGTCGCGCTCACGGAAGCTGAAGATGATATCCACGATGAGTCCCTTGAATTTTTGGAAGTAGTAAAAACCATAGTGCACCACTTCCAAATGATTCAGCTCGCCTTCCTTGGGTGGAATATCAGAAGCCTTGGTTTCTTTATCTGGCTCAGGTGTCAAATCGATTCTCGTCGGAAGCTCCGCCTCTCTCTTGTACGCGTATTCCTCCATGAGCTTAGCGTAGTTGGGGCCAGCATCCGGATCTTTAAGCATCGAATCACGAAATGTGTCCAGGCTCGCTAAATACAAAGCCACTGTCCGCTCCACGTACTTGATGATACCAGCGCAAAACATGAGTATCGTGGGGATCATTAGCTTGTCGTTGGGAAGTGACTGGAAGAAGACATAGATACAGCCCCGCTTGAACAACAAGGCCGAACAAATGCCTCGGCCAAAGCTGATTATCCTCGAGAGAAAAAGCAGTGATGGTGTCGGGGCCGCCAAGGTGTAATAAAAGGAATGGCGCCCAGAATGCCATTAGGCCGCTCTGAATTTTCTTCACCGGATCCTCGGACTTATCAGAATCAGATTGGCCGCGTTGGCTGTTGGATATGAGACCAACGGCAAAATTGGCAGCTGCGTCAGCCAACAAGTACGCAATCCAAATGAGTAAGATGGCGACCTTTTTCCTCGCGGATTTTCTTACTGGGGCCACGAAAATCAGTACCACCTGCAACAAGAGACTGAACAAAATAGCCCCTCGGATGTTCCATGCGTTCCATGCCTTTTGTAATCTACTAAGGATGCTTATAAATAACTCAGCCATTTTCTTCCCTCTACACTCTTTTCACTCTTGTTAATTGCTCACTTGATATTGAGCACACTATATATGGCTTGTTTTACTACCAAATTCTTTACATAGGAAAAGAAAATGCTTTCGTAGCACTTACAAAAGATTTCGGTACTTAGCTATTCCATGTCATTCGTCTTCCTCAACACTAAAGATAAAGTCTATGTTACAATAGATAGCGACCGAACATAAAATCATGTAATTTAGAGAGAATTTTAACGACTTTGAAAAATAAAAATAAAGAAAGAAACTAGGCTGTAGTTGGAATAAAGGCCAATGCATGTTTCACGATGGGGGTAGCTTTGCTCTTCATTTGGTTTTCCTTTTTGGAACAAAAGCATGGATCGGGCATTTCACCATGGAAGTAACCCCATGCATGTTCCACGATGACTGATTCTTGAAACAAACTTAGCTAAGAATACGATTTTAACTTTTTGCACTTTTTATCTGCAATAGTTAACTGCAAGTCATTCTTATTCTAAGAGAAACCCGATGGGGGGACTGAGTGAAAGGCCAAGGCCTTCTTGCTGGATCGGGCATTTTACTTTCTCTTGCAATTTTGGTTCAAGTTTGCTAGGCTAATGATTTCTGCCCTTCTAAGCTTATTTTCTTGACCAAGTTTCTAGTAACTTTATTCTCTTTTTAACTTTAAACGTTTTTTTTCACATAGTTTTGCATTTTCAACCTCCATTATGGTTCACAACAAAGGTCACGAGGCTTAATTTAGTACTAATAAACTAGTAAAACTACTGCCGGTAGCTTTAAAAATATTATATATCATAATTGTTCAGTTGAATTGCTATAAGAAGTGTATAGTTTAATGAATCCATTAATTTACTTAAACAATTTTAAGGTATATGGTTTAGAGTTTAAAATATTATATTTAATATAAATAAATAAAATCATAAAATTATAAATATATATATATTAGAAATTTTAATCATGGTTAATTTAGTTTAAGAAATTAAAAAATCATAAACACTAAAAATATAATACAAATTTATAAATAAAAAATATAAAAAATTATAAGAGATAATGGCGGCAAAATCAACGAGATAATGCGCTGAATTTTTTTTTCACGAAATAGTGCTCTCGCCAGATTAATTGCTCAGATGAGGTGATATTTACAGTCTCCATGTAGGTCCCCAGGTGCTCCGGGCGACGTCACAGGAGATGGGGTAGGTCGCCATGCACGCCCAACGACCTACCAGGTCGCCATGCAGTCTCCATGTAGTCCCCAAAGGTTGCCATGCAGTCCAAAATAGATATGACTTGCTTAATATATTTACAGTGAGCTAGCGGATGGGGGAAATGGTCATGAGGACTGCATGGCGACCTGGTAGGTCGTTAGGTGTGCATGGCGACCTACCCCATCTCACCACATCGCGGGGATGTCGCCCGGAGCACTTGGCAACCTACATGGGAACTGTAGAAATCACCCCATATGAATAATTAATCTGACGAGAGCACTATCTCGTAAAAAAAAATCAATGCATTATCTCGTTGATCTTTTCAGATAATGGCCCAACAAGATTTATAAGTCTCTGCAACGACAACTCAATCGGTGCACGATTTGAGGAAGCAGCCTAGCCTCGGATGCCGTTGAAAGCGACACTTCGATGCCGTACTCTTATGACCTAAGCGCCAAATAGAACTGAAACAAAGCTTGTTTAATTAATCCAACATGTTCTATAGGCGACATTAGGGTACTATCGAAACCGACTCAACCTGAAAATATATATCTTCACTCGAAATTCGGCTCGACCTGAGTTTAGGGGTAAATTCATGTGAGCCAAACCTGACCTAATTTTTTTTTATATAAAACTCGGACCCAACTTGAACTAACCCGAAATAAAAATATATAAAAAATTATTCATTAAAAATAGAGATCTAGTTGAAAAAAAATAATACATAGAAGGTTATTATTGCAATTATCCTTAAATATGTAAGATAAATTTAAATTATTTTTGGAGTTGGGTCGGATATTTTTCACCATAAACTCAAATCCGACCTGACTCGAACTCAATGTTTTTAAAAAATTCAACCCTATCAAACCGAATCAAATCAAAACTCGCCAGGTTCGGGTCCTGTGCTAATCCCTAGGCCACATATCTATCAAGCAATGGAGTAAAATTTGTTGGAAAAATGGTGATTTTAATTGATGGATTTAATATTTATATTAAATTCATAGTCATTTTCACTATTGCAAATTAAATATATTATTTAATTTGAATTTAGTAAGATAATTACTCTTTGAATATGTAAATTTAAAAAGGTATTTGTTATATTTTTAACTTTTAATATTAAAGATAATTATATACTTTTATATATTTCAAATTAAAATATATATATATATATATATATATATATATATATATATATATATATATATATATATATATATTTAAGTTTGAAAGTTAAAAGGAGTTTTATCTTTTGAATATTTCAAATTAAAATATATTATTATATGTTTAATGTAGAATATTAAAAGATATCTAGTTGAATTAAATATCTCTTGAAAATCTCCTATAAATAGCGAGTTAACCTTCTAAGTTAAACACAAGTTACAAGTTTCACAAGTTTTTAGCAAGTTCTTTGACAAATTCAAAAGAAGAAGAAAATTATTTTCCTCTAGTTTTTCTGTGCTAGTCGAAGGCAAAGATCGTTCGTGATAAATGCATATGTGCACTATAGTTGATCATAAGTTATTGTATCCTGGGAGACAGATGGCTAACGAACTCGAGCACCAAAAGACTTAAATTTGGTACTATAGTTTAGGAGATATAGCTCGAATTTGGTAAAAACGGACTTAAAATAAATGAGGAATTGAATAAATAAGGAGATTATGAAAAACTAAAGGACTAAATCAAAAAATAAAGATTTTGTTATCAAAAAGAGGAATTGAAAGTACACATGTATTCTATTATGGTTTAGGAGCATGTGACTCAAATTTGGTAAAAAAAGAGACTAAAAATAAATGATGAATTGAATAAATAAGGAGATTATGAAAAATTGAAGGACTAAATTGAAAAATAAAAAAATTGTTACCAAAAAGAGGAATTGAAAGTACACATGTATTCTACTATGATTTAAGAGCATATGGTTCAAATTTGGTAAAAATGAACTTAAAATGAAGGAGGAATTGAAGAAATAATGAAAACATGAACTAAATTGTAAAATTATCAAAATACTTTGTCAAAATTTTCTATTTTTAGAGTAACCTAAAAATTAAAAATTTCATCTCAACTCTAACTCAAAAACCGAATTTATAATCCGAGTTGACTAGAATAACTCAAAATTGAAAAAAAAAATTAATTTTTCTAGCCGAGTCGAGTTTTGCTCACCCCTAAATTTTTCTAACAACCGGTGACAAAAACACAACGTTATGAATGATTTTGAAAAAAATATAGCTGAGTGACCATAAAGGGATCAAAATGATAGTTGAATGACTAAATATGTGTTTACCGAATAATAAATTAGTTCACTGCATCACACTTATTTGTTGCCTAGCTAGGATTGCAGCGCAGAATGGAGAGAAAAAAACATGAAAACAACAGCCAATGAGATTTTTCAGTATCTATATATATTACTTCTCTACGATCAATTTGGCTCTTGCATGTTTTTCCTTGATCTGGACCCCCACCCCCAGACCAAAGTGAGCCATCAACAACCAAAAGAAGGAGATAAGCTGTCCACCTTTGCTTACCTCTGCAGCATATGTAATTCCTCTACAATGGCGCGCCGCATACGACACTAATTCCACCCACACTCTGCTCATTACCATCCACTTATTCTCCTTGTCTTCATCGTCCATCCTCTTCAGCTCTTTGGCCAGTATGCTTGCACTGAATAACACGGACTTGCTTCGGTTTCCCTTCACGTGCTCAGGTTCAACATCCGTATTCACCAACAATATTTCTCCGCAAGCCTTCTTGTCTTCGTTTCGACGTAAATTCCGTCTCTCAAAAGAAAATTCTAGCCTCCGCACATGTGTCTTGTATTCTTATTTTGGCCATACCAGCGACGGGGGACATCATGGTTGGCTGAAATACGAGAAGATACAACATGTAGTCCGACAGTATTTTGCTGAAGTGCATGTATTTCAGATTCTTGCCACCGTTTTCCGACTCGGTCTCCTCCTTTTCAGTTTGGTAGCATAGATCAGTCGCAATGTGCCACAAGAGAATGCTCTCATCATATGGAACATCACTCACATACCTGAGTATCTTGCTACGATCGTGCTCAGAATCGATATCCGTCAAAGCCCACTCGCCTCTGGCCGACGATATCCTCTTTGCAGTTTCTGGAGTATCTGCGAACTCTGCTTTCTTCTTTAGCTCATCGAAGATGAATTCCCATAGCTCCTTAATGAATGGCTCAATGGACACATAAAAAAACTCGTCAAGAGTATCTTCAATCCAGCTGTAAATTTCGGTAAACGGCGAGCATAGTGTCTTTTTTATAGGCCTTGGAAAACTGTTGGTGATACGCCAGAAAAATGTACAAGGGCATGTGATGATCATGATAAAACAATCGGTAACCCTTCTTTTGACTCGATCGAACCCCAAACAAACTTTTTCTGGATCGAACCCCAAGAAATGAAATATTTTTCCAAACACGATTAGACGCAAACTTGGGAATTCATGGATGCTTTTCTTATCGCTTTTCAGACAATACCTTATTAAGTTGTGTGATGAGATGGATCCAGACCACCTTCGAAATGCAGTGGGATTGGCCAACACATGATGACGGTCTTTAGGCACTTCAGTACATTTACAAAGATGCCACCGCGATTTCTTGAGGGCAAGGATATTGCTGAAGACGGATGCCACGACTCCCATGATCCCATGGGTAGGACGATCAGGGTTGATATTTATAAAAGTAAAAGTACGATCTGTGACAATGGACAAGAAGGCTATTACATCCAGGGAAATGGCACCAAGGAGCAAAGTGTAGGTGATTCCAACTTCCGATCTATTGTATTCATGTTTCTCCGTTTTGAAATGGAAGATTCCAAGAGTAGCCAAAGTCGAGCCAAAAGCTAGGCACCGAGAAATAAATCCAGGCCAAGAGTAGACACATTCTATCTTGGTAAACAGAGTCTCGTATATGAAGTTGAGTTCAACCTCGATTACCCTCAGAGCATCTTCAGCTGTCCTCCTGTTGAAGAAATCACGGCTCTCGTCAAAAGGGTAGCTGAACATGAGATCTGCGATAATTCCCTTGAATGTTTGGAAGTAGTGATAAGCATAGGACACCACTTCCAAATGATTCAGATTGCCTTCCTTGTGTGGAATATCGGAGGCTTCTGGCTCAGGTGCCAAAACAATTCTCGTCGGAAGCCCCGCCCCTCTCTTGAACTCGTATTCCATCGTGAGTTTAGAGTAGTCGGGGCCAGGATCCGCTTCTCTAGTCATCGAATCACGAATTTTGTCCAAGCTCGCTAAATACAAAGACAGTGTCCGATCCCCGTACTTGATGAAACCGGCGCAAAACATGAGTGCCGTGGGGATCATTAGGTTGTTATGTGGAAGTGACAGGAAGAAGACATAGGCAACAGCCCCCGCTTGAGTAACAAGGCTGAAAAAATGCCTTAGCCAAGCTGATTATCCTCGAGAGCCAAAGAAGTAATGGTGTCGGAACCGCCAAGGTGTAATAAAAGGAATGCCGCCCAGAGTGCCATTAGATCACTTTTCTCCAAACTCTTCTCGGGCTTCTTAGGTTGACCGCGTTGGCTGTTCATATGAGACCAATGGAAGACTTGGCAGCTGCATCAGACAACGATATGCAGTCCAAAGGAGGTAGGTGACGAGCTTTTTTCCTCGTGGATTTTCTTAATGGGGCCACAAAAACCAATACGAACTGCAACAAGAGACTGAACAACATAGCCCCTCGGATGTTCCATTTGTCCCATAGATTTTCTAGTCTCATAAGAAGGCATCTTAGAGAGAAGTCGGACATTTTCTTCACCCTACACTCTTGTTAATTTCCCTGCCCACTTGATATTGAGCACACCTTCTCTTGCTTCACTATCAAATTCTTCATATAGGAAAAGAAAATGCTTTTACAAAAGATTTAGTTACTTGGCTATTCCACGTCATTCGTATTCCTCAACACCAAAGACACAGCTTATGTTACAATTAATAGATAACGACCAGACAGAAAATCATGTATTTAGAGAGAATTTTAACGACTTTGAAAAATAAAGAAACGAAACTGTAGTTGGAATAAAGCCCAATGCATGTTTCACGATGGGGATAGCTTTGCTCTTCATTTGGTTTTCCCTGTTGGAACAAAAGCATGGATCGGGCATTTCACCATGGAATTAGCCCCATGCATGTTCCACGATGACTGATTCTTGAAACGAACTTATCTAAGAATACAATTATAACTTTTTCCACTTTTTATCTGCAAGTCATTCTTATTCTAAGAGAAAGCCAATCAATCTGATGGGGGGACCGAGTGAAAGGCCAAGGCTTGCTTGCTGGATCAAGCATTTTACTTTCTTTTGCAATTTGGTTCTTCTTCCTACAACTTTGCTAGGCTAATGATTTCTGCCCTTCTAAGTAGGTCTCTAAATGAGACAAGACAGATTGCGAGCTACTTGAGATTGATTCGGTCAAATTTCAATAAATACTCGATTCAAATGGACTCTACACGAGCTCGAGTTCGACGTGATTTCTTAACGAGCCGAAACGAACTACTTGATACTCGACTCGGAAAGCTCGTGAGTAGTTCAAAAGTATGATATATTAAAATTTTATTTTAAAAAAATAAATTATTAATAATATTAAAATTTATGTGTTGATTTAAAAAAATAGTATAAGGTTTTCATGTATTTAAGGTTTAATTTCGAGTTTGAGTTTGAGGCTTTAATCGAGTTAAGTTTAATATTTTTTTATTTTCAAGTTTTTACGAACTTCAGTTTATGATTTCGAGTTCGAGTCAAACTTAAAAATTCTAAGCTAACGAGTTTTCGAGTCGAGTTAATCTTCATTTCAGATTTTTCGAGTCGAGTCGACTCAATAATACTCAAACTCGACTCGTTTACAACCCTACTTCTAAGCTTGTTTTCTTGACCAAGTTTCTTGGAACTTTATTCTCTATTTTTATTTTTCGGCTTTTCTCACGTAGTTTGGTGTAAATGAACGGAAATTGATTAAACATGGTTGTTGGTCTTTTTAAAATTTTCATATTATTGTTCGTTTGCTTATTTTTAAAATGTTTATGTTATTGTTCATTTGTTTATTTTTAAAATGTTCGTATTCGTGTTCGTTTAATTTTTTTTATCACATCCATTTATTTATTTTTGAAGGTATTTATGTTCGTTCATTTGGTGTTCACGAACATATTCGTTTATATGTTCGTGAACATGTTCATTTAATGTTCAAGAACAAATTCGTTTAGATATTCAGAAATTAAACAAAACCAAATAAATAAATCTTATATAATATCTACACCAACAACAAAATACAATCTTTAAACTCCAAATTTTACCATTTATTCAGTTTATTCTCTACATTTATCAATATTTAAAATTTTAAAAGATAAAAAATAAACGAACCTCTAAAGGAGCTTGTTCATGAACATAAACAAATGAGTTGATAAATGAACTCTTAAATAAGTTTATAAACGAGCTTGTTCATAAATATAAACGAATACGTCGATAAACAAGCTTATTCGTGAACATGAACTAATCGAACACATCTCTATTTATATTCGTTTATTTAAATTAACAAACGATCATAAACGAGTTATACAAACAGTTCACCTAACTATTTGTGGTTTGGGTTATTTTCAAACTCATTATGGTTTGCAACGAAGGTCACGTGGCTTAATTTTGTAACTAAACTACTGCCAGTGGCTTGAATTGATATAAAAAATTCTTTTAACGAATCCTTTAATTTACCTAAATAACAAGACCATTTCAAATTAAGTTATCTTGAAAGTTGATTGGAGTCTTAAATAACACAATAATGCAGTCTGGGACAAGCAGTGATGACTGATGAATCATGCTCGATAAAGAATCAAATACGAAGCAAATCAATTTTCACTGATATCAATAAAATGATAATAGAAATTACAACACCCTGATCCTTATTTGACTAAGCAACAAGGCAAAGCACAACACTTCTATAATCTTCCTTGTACTGCAAGAATACAAGCAAATTCCTAATGCAACCTCATTCTTGCCTTACAAATGGCGAGGAGCTAACATATGTGCTGTAAAATGAATCTTCTCCCCCGTAGTAGTTGTCATCTTTCTCGTCTTCCCACTTGAGAACCTCTCTTATGTACTTAAATGCTTCGTCAATCGTTACCCGATGATCCCTTGCCCTAGCTTGCCATACAAAAAGTTTCTGTCCGGTTAGGGAAGCATACTGATCCTTGAACTTCACGACGACGTAAAAGTAAGCCTACTGAGCCAGGGAGTGATGGTTATGGAGAGGCCTAACCGGGCTGAAATCATTGAACCACTCGCATGTGCTTAACGACACCCGGTTAACTTTCTCCTCGAACAGATCATACTAGTTTAGTATTAACACAAATGGGGTATCCTTAAAACAAGGGTGCCTTATCATTGTTTCAAATAGCTCCTTTGTCTGCAACATCTTATTCTGAAGCAGAGTTCCACCGCTACTACTCTCGGATGGTATCGATATCTGCTCGAAATCGCTAAGCGCTACGCAGAAAACTACCGAACGCACATCTTCAAATATTTCCACCCACTTGCACCTCTCGTTCATCCCCTTCGCATTTACCCTTATAAGTTGGTACCTGTAAAATGTAACAATATGACATCATTAGCTCATAGATGCAAGGAAGACCTGCATGACAATCCTTAACATGCATCCCATTGACAAATGACGATAACTATCAGAATGACAGAATAATTACTTGTTCAGGGGCAGGGATGGAGCTTCCAAATTGTCTGTGTAGGTTTCGGACATTGGACTATGATCATCAAGCGAAAACTCTATGAAAGCCAAATCATCCCCTTGGGTAATCCCTTCAGCATAAAGGATATCACGATCCGAAGGTTCATATTCATTGCTTGACACCTCAACAGCCTGAAGGAATCAAAAGTGTATCACTATCACATAGGTCAAAATATCGCTGTGAATTTGAGATAAGTTGGTTTTATTTTGGGAGATCTTCCTCAAGATGAATAACTTGAATATCAAATGGCCAAGTAAATTTAGCAACAGTTAAGCCAACAATATTAAACAAAAAATGTAAAATACCGGCAACAAATTCAACAGAAATTAAGATGACACACCCTGCTTAAGAATTACTCCGCAACATCTGGAAGGAAGTGAAGCTCGTCTTTTCTTTTATATGTTTGCTGTATAGCAGGATCTTTCCACAACTCCTCAACTAATGGAGCATACTCACTTGTCGCTGCAGGGAAAAAAGCATCCAAATCTCCGGTGCCTACGATGTCCAGAAGCCAATCAGAAAAATGCTTTAGCCTTGGGTTAATTTAATAGACGCACTGGCTAGTTTCACCAGAGATACCTCCCCACCTGAAATAATATTATAGTTCAGTTTAGATGCTGGAAGAGTTGCGATGCTGTTAAACAATTCCTTATGTTTGGCCAGCTGTGTCAGACCTAGAAGCATCATCATGTAAGTGTAACCCTATATAAAAAGTTAAAAAAAAAAACTAGCAGAAAATAACCGCTAGAAGCACTTTTTTCCCTCCCCTTTCAGTCAATCAAAAAATAAACAATATGCATATCGAGGAGATATTTAGGCTATAAAACAAGTTTACTAGAAGTAACATGTTCTACTTTAAAAGCTCAAAACCACGTTTAAAATCAGAAAAGGTTTTGATGTAGAGAAATGTTACCTGCTTCGTTGTTCTGGTCATCAGGACCTAGTTCTCTTACACGAGACATTGCTTCCTCCTCAAACCGCTCTCGCCCATCCAGTAATATGCTCAGGTATCTGTACATATTGCTCTGGATCATCAACTTGAGCTCCTGCAGTTCCTCGGTAGAAAACCCATTCCCATACTAAATTTTTGCCTGAACAATATGCGTACTGCACATTAAAAAATGGCAGAACTGCAATGAAAGGCTGTAACAACACGAACTAATTACTGCATTTTATTACTCGAGCCAAAGGGAATTTTCCCACATCATAATCATCCATGCACCATAAGACCAAAAGCTCCTAGACCAAGAAAGCATGAATGAAAAGGAAATGCAGCCAAAGCCACTGAAAGCACTGTTGATATATATGCAAGAAAACAGACTCAAAGTTTTCATAGACTGCGTTTAAATATTTGTCATCTACTGTGGATTGGAATGACGGGCATTTTTCATGTTCATGCAAGATATTCTGCTAACTTCCATCAAGGCAATAAATTTCTGAAGTGATTTAAGCTTCTTCTTCAATGCAAGTATGCAACTATGTCTATGCATTTGGCAGGTCAATACGCAACATGCTAGCAGGAGCAAAATAGAGCAACAAAAAAAAGGGGCAAAACCTGCTTGAAAATGGTGCTTGTTCCAGAGCCTTGAAGCCCAAGTAGAATACCCATGGTGATATTGAGGTCGTTGGCATTTTAACATGCCTTCTCCCAGATATTTCCTCTAATGTTATTTTGACCTTCTTCCTCATAACGACCATCATTATAAACCCAAAAATGACTGTCACGTGGACACTGCACATTCGCCAACTGAAAGCATCAAACAGATGCATCAATGATTGATAAAAGGATATGAAGATATACATTGAATATAATATTATATTCCCTTCCACATTTTAATCAGTTGTGGAGGCTAAAAATTCATCAAATGTCAAAAGGAAAAGGCCTAACACAGAAAATTTAAATGTTAAAGCATTTCCTAAGGGGAATCTGTTACTTTTAAACAGTAATGACAAAGAACCAACAAGAGAAGTTAAGTGCGATATCTGAATAGGATATACTAGTCGGTAAAATTAAAATGAGA